CGAAAGACAAGGGAACTGGTAGAGAACAACAAATTGTCATCCAATCTAGCGGCGGCTTGAGCAAAGACGAAATTGAAAACATGATTAAAAAGGCTGAAGAATACGCAACTGCTGATAAGAAGAAACGTGAACTCGTTGAATTGGTCAATCAAGCCGAAGGTATAATGCACGATACTGAAGCAAAAATGGAAGAATTCAAGAGCCAATTACCAGTTGAAGAAGTAAGTTCGAGATCGTCATTTTTCATTTAAACATAAGCATGATCAATATTGTAACACTTATGCTTTCACAGTGCGACAAATTAAAGAAAAGCATTGCCGATCTACGAGCTCTTTTGGCCGACAAAGACAAATCTGAACCAGAAGAGGTGCGCAAGGCTACCAATCAACTGCAGCAAACGTCACTGAAATTGTTTGAAATGGCCTATAAAAAGGTTAGTTGACAAATTGATTTTTGCAGCACATTTGGGGAGGATATAAAGATCTTTTATATAATCCTAGATGTCTGCTGAGCGTGAAAGTGCCGCTGGAAATAAGGACAGCACTACGGAGAGCACTGGAGAGGCTGGCAGCAGCAGCACTAGCAGTTCAGAACAAGCCAAATCTCAGGAGAAAAAGGAGGAGAAAAACTAAATTAGAGTTTTTAAATATTTTCACAACTACATTCAAAGCTTAGGTGTTCTTGTAACTATAAGTTTGTTCCCCCGCCCATGAGCTAAGAAAACATTACTTTCAACCGTTTCATTTAGTTGGTAAAGATCCATTTATCCTCCGTTCTGATTGGATTATATAACTCATAACAATTTGCGTCATCATTCACATTAAAAAGAAAAGGCCTACCGATTTTCTGGCAGGCGGGACCTGTGTAGGAAAAGAATAATTCGAGTGTAAACATTGGCCTTTACGGTGTTTTTTTGTTTCTCTATAGCAATTGTGCGGGTTTTCCTACCTTATGGTCCTTTTTAAAATAATGGTTTGATTTTATTATTATTATTTTTTTTTCTTTTTTTACACAAAACTTAAACCAAAAACATAAATTCCATAAAAGAGCAAAACATCATTTAAATAATAAAAAAATCGAACTTTATAAATTTCCATAAATGTTTCATTAGCGTTATGTAAAAGTGCGATGGTTTTATTCTCTAAAGTAAGATATCTATCGATATATACTCGATGAGTAGGGAATGTGGAGAAGTGTGTACAGCTAAACCTAAAAAAATTTATATATAAAACTGTTAAATTTTTTAAAATTTAAATAAAAACAAAGAAAATGCTGAAAGTGACCATTTTGTTGTTCTTCTATGAAGGTTTTTGCAAATTGTTTATTAAGAGATCAAAGTTGATTCAGATTTATTTCGAAGCAGCCCCTAGTTATGGCTTAAAATATGAATGAATACATTGAAACGATTCAGTACCATTAGCAGTTAAATAATTTTAGTCGTAATATATGTCAAACCATCGCATTCGAACGAACAAAAAGAAAGTGAAGCTTTTTTTTAACTTTATATAGTCCTTGTGACGCGCGCGTGTATATCATTAAAGCGGTAGTTTGGAAGAAAAAAGTTTTGTAAACATCTGGAGTAGAGGAGAAGAGAAAACATTGTCAAAACGACAACAGCAATAATAAAATGAAGGAGTAACAAGCACAAAACTTAAAAAAAGAAATATTTTGAGCTTCCATAGTCCTCTGAAAAAATACGTGAGTCGCGTCATGTGCTTAACATTTAGTAGAAATCAATTAAAACAGAACGTAATAGAGAAGAGAGCTAATGGAAGATGTCCGCTTCACAAGAGTTGCTTTCCTCTGTCTCTTTTGAAAGCCTTTTGACAAACTATATGGGTCTCATCGTGTGGTAAATGTTTAATAGAACCCAATTAACAAGGAACCTGATAAAACTTACACACGAATTTGTCCGTTTCCTAAGAGTTGCTTTTCTTCTGCCTCTCAAAAAATATGCGCACCTCGTTTCTTTTTTTTCATATCAACTAGTAACTTAGTAAAACTTTCGTTTCTTAAGAATTGCTTTCTCTTTTTTTCTGCTGGGATAAATATAATATGAAAATTAGCGATTTCACCTTCCTCATCGTGAAGTCGTTATTTGTTGAAAAATGTTTGTGAAATCTAAAAAAAAATAAGCAAGAAAGTTATATGCGGCGAGGGCCTCAATTCAGACAGGCCATTATTCAGACAGACAGATGGATGGCTCAATGAAATTAAAATTTCAAAAATATATATACCTTATAGGGTCTCCGAAGCTTCCTTCTGGATGTTACACACATTATCAAAAAAAGAACAAAATGAGTTTACTCCCGTCCTTCAGTGGGGGGTATAAAAACTGGTTGTTGTTGTCATTCCTTCCTATCTCTTCATTTGGCCCATAATATCTCTTCTCTTTTTCTAAAGATCGTAAGTTATAGTTTTCACGGCTCTTAATAACTTGTTTAAAATAATTTTCCTATTACTTGTAAGGGGTTTGTAAATTAACCTCTCGCAAATTTTGTTGCGTCGTAACTGTAGAGCTCTTCATCTCTCCTCTTAAAATTTATAGTAATGAAGTTTATTATGTTTTAATCTTCATAGCTCTGCCGTGTCGAACTCAATGTAGGAAAGGTCATTATTTTGAATTACAGGCTTTTTTTAAAACTCTTCGTGGCCTTGTACAATGCCATGCAATAAGCACCTTTAGAAAGATTTAACGTTCTTTCGTGAGCAAAATATATATGCCTGATGTCTTGTTAGAATAATAACTAGTCATCAATTTCATCGATTATGCAAAAAAAAATGTCTAAACAGGGATTACTTCGCCTATATCGCCAAAACGTGGTGAAAGCTCTTAAACCAGTGTTCGCGGATTCAAGTTTCAGTGCTACGGAGCATGCTTGGCCACGGTTATACTGAGTGATTGGACTTGCTTCTACTATGCCATCCGGCCGTATCTCTTTCTCCTTCCTCACATCTTTCCGCCTGTCACTGTACTGCACTTATAGCGATCATATCCTGACTGTATTAAAAGAGAAACACATTCCTAACAGAAATCGTATTTTTTCAACATAATAACTCAGCCCCTCGTGCATTTTCGAAGGATTACAGCAGCGATGATAAATATATTTTGTAACGGTTAAGACCTCCGTTCAATTTGAGAATAACCGTAGCCGACGACGTCACAAAAGTGAGTACAGAAAGCAGCATTGACTTAATTTGTAACAGAGCAGACATAGTCTTATAGCTTTAGTACTCGATTTTTCTTGATTTTCATTTAGCCTAAGATGAATAAATTTACTGAATAAACATTGTAATAACAATAATGATATTACATAAGAGAAACAAAAATAGTAATAATGAAAATATTGAGAGTAATCACAACCTGTCGTCTCATTTTGTTTTATTCGCCTTGGAGAGAATGTTTTCAGTTAGCTAGTTTTCAGTTTTAGCTTTCGGCTGAATTTTGGAAATTTCTTTAAAATATCGCTTTCGTCCACTACGCTCACTCCTAATTGCGTTGTCATTCAATTAATATATCTTATGAGCTGTAAACTTTTGTTTATATTGGTCGTCGCTGTTACGTGTGAACAACGCCCATTCTCTAACCCGATTTCTAAGAATAATATAAATATCAAATGCAATCAATTATATCAATCAGTTTTCGGAAATGTGTTTCGAAGGACAGAGTTGCTTAAATCGGTCCGGATAAGACAATGTGAGCGCAAACACTTACTTTATATAGATAGGTCCTTGTGGCATTCTTTTGTTTATTAAAAACGAAGAGAATAATTCTTCTGTCGCCAGAATAGAAACTGACTTAGTTGAACTCAATTCACTTATATTAGGTGCTTGGAAAAATTATGATCGTTTTTTCACTTGAAAATGGCATTTATTGAAAAAAAGTGGCAAAACGGCGGCTTCATGTCGAAAGAAGTTGTATTGGGAACGACCCAATCAGCGATCACATTTTCGCACTTCTTCAACTTTACGGACCCGTATGCCAGCCGAACCATGCTGCAGGGGTCTGAACAAATGGCAATCGGAAGGCGCCGTAGCTCGGCGTGATAGTACTTCCCATTCGAGCTGCAGCAGTGAATCCTTGATAATTCTTGCAACAAGTGGCCTATAAATGGCATTTTCAATGAAGTCGTGTTGTCACTCCGTTAAAGCCGAAACCAACAAATGGGATATGATGGAGCAGCATCACCATAAGCTTCTGGACGTGTTTTGCTGGGCTTCAGCATCAGCAAATAAGAAAAGTAATTTCGGTTGAAATTGTAATTTTGACCGCTCTCTGGCATTAGCGACGGCACACGCTGCATAAATCAATAATATTAAATGGGAAAGTGTGATTTTATATAGAGGAAGGTCAAAAGTAGCGTATTCAGCCGTTATGTACCCTGGTATTTTTCATTTCTTTATTATTTTTAACTGATTAAAATTTTTGCAAGCACCTGATATACAAGGTGCCTTCACTATGTAAAATTGTGATTCAAACTTTCTCGGAAAACCTATTTGTTTTTCAACGTACCCTGAAGGCGCTATACCTCATCTTCTATATGCCTCGTTGATTCAAGAACGAATCTTTTTAACTCAGCCACCGAACAGTAAATGCCATCGGATTAAATAGATTGCGATGTTTTCGAAAAGTTTCCTCTACCTTACCGCGTATTTTAAAAGCAAAAATAATCTCGTATATTAATCTCGTATAATAATTCCTTTCACTTTATTTTATGTATAAACGAATATAAAACCTATTTAATTATTAACGTATGTAAATAAATACTTAAATTTTAATTAAAACTTAAAATCCAACTTTATACGAATTCTAATCACCTAAGAGAAAAAAAAAAAAATCCGGCCTACTTAACGATATAAAATTTAATTTTGAATAAATTGTTTCCTGAGTGCATAATAATATCTAATATTAGGAGAAAGCGTTTCACTCTAAGTCCATCAACATCGACGACGACTTTGCATGGCTTACATGGAACCCGATTGTAATTTATACAAGCTAAAGTAAAGTCCGTGCAATTCGAGTAATTGCCTATGTGTTCCATATTCGGAAATTTGACCGTCTTTGAAAACGAATATCACATCTGAATCTATAATGGTTGATAAACGATGAGCGATTGTAATGGTAGTGCGACCTTCGCTAGCGACATCTAAGGCAGCTTGCACTAGGCTTTCACTTTCAGCATCTAATGCGGATGTGGCTTCGTCCAGCAACAGTACACGAGGATTTCGAATTAAAGCTCTGGCAATGGCAATCCGCTGTTTTTGGCCACCGGACATTTGCGTACCTTTCTCACCGATCCGATTTTCGTAGCCCTAAAATGTGAGAATGTTTCAATTTCAGTCTCTAATGTAATGCTGATATTCCTACCAAAGGCAATGACACTATAAAGTCATGTATATTAGCTTTCTTAGCCGCTTCAATGATTTCGGCTTGTGAAACTAATCGATTATTGTCACCATAGGCGATATTTTCACTTATAGTCCGATCAAAAAGTATTGGCTCTTGAGAAACGATACCCATTTGACGACGCAAATTTTGCAAGGACAGACTGCGCAAATCCTTATCATCGATTGTTATCGAGCCCGCGTTTACATCGTAAAAACGTTGCATTAATTGTATGCATGTAGATTTTCCGCAACCGGATTGACCCACCAAGGCAATCCTTTCACCTTTAGCAACACTTAAACTAAGATCGCGCAACACTAAAATCTCTGGCCGGGCTGGATAGGAAAATCGTACCTCTTCATAGGCTACATTACCTTCCGCGTACCATGGTGCTGTGTCAACGTCCGCACGATCGACAATTTCGGGCGAACGTGTTAACAATTTATAAATATTTTCAGCTGCTGTTAAGCCCTTTTGAAAATTGGGAGCAAATGCTAAAGCACTAGCGATCGACACAGTTCCCATAATTAAAGATTGAGCGACAATAAAAACATCGCCGAATTCCATGCCTTTATTGATAATACACCAACCGCCATAATACATGCAAGCAGCGTAGGCGAAGTACATAAGAGAACGGGCCAAACCGTAAACGAAACCCCGATAATGGGTATTACGTTTGGCTTTCTACAATGATATGCGCAGAAAGATTTTATTATAATAAATCGCTATGAAATTTCAATGATCATACCCTCACAGCAGGTCCTAGCATTTCTATATACAGGCGATAAAACATTTCTTCACGTCCCAAAGAGACCACAGTACGTATATTGGAGACCACTTCAACCGCAAGCTGTGCGATATGAAAACAACAATGCCGACAGATTAATTACACTCACTTGTTGATGGACTCTTATACTAATCTTACTTTAGTGCACTTCTCCATGGTTTTAGCAGTGCCCATGTGCTCTTTACTCATAACTTTACGTTGCAAAAACGTAGCCACCAATATGAAAGGTGCAAAAGCTAACGCCAATAATCCCAAACTCCATTCGAAATACATGGAGATTCCTATTCCCAAAGATATAGTAGCCAATGCTTGTACGACGATGCCAATGCGTTGTCCAGTAGCCTAAGAAGAAAAGAGAGCAACACTATTTCCTTTACACATGCAGTTCCGGGACGAACATTTGTTTCCTTGAAATAACTTGCGACTCATATATGTATTTTCAGGAAAACTTGCAAAAAAAGGTATTTTTCTATCCGTGTACTAAATCTTTATTACGCGGACAAAGCGAACTGATAAATGAGTCCAGTTAGCCACCGGGGAAGGGTAGTAAACTTAGATGCCGATCGAAGAGATCGCTGATGATCAATTGTTCACACAAAAAGACACATACAGCGAGGCAATAGTTGTGTTGAGGAAACGAAGTGGGGGGGACGGGAGCAGTGGGAGCAGACGGAAAAATTGGAAAATGCAGCAAGAAATTTTCCGGTTGTTTTAGTGAGGAAAAAGCTAAATCCATCCTGTAGACAGTACTGACGAATATATATCTCATCGCAATTGGAAGCAACTTGGCGTCGCGCCGAGAGACTAATCAGATTTTTCGGATAGTTGGATGATGCCGCCTTTTGTTGATGTAACTGATTTTGGAATTTGACCAATAAATACTATAAAGCTCTTCGCTTAATACCATTCTTCTCAGCTATCTTCTTCATAAAGCGTCAAAAAATTGTACCTTGTTGCCACAAAAAGGCGTAATTTTCGTTAGAACTCTAATATAAAAGGGGACGTGAACCGGCGACATATACACTTAGTAAAGTCTATAAAGACCTGCTTTTTATGAAAATCCTTTTGTGAGAGGTTATTATTATTATTATTATTATTATTATTAATTTCGCCACAGAAATAAATTCTAAGACTAAACTCTTAAAAGCACTAGCATCTAAGGCTATCGGCTTTTATTAAAAACTCTACCGCACTTGAGATTCGAACCCACGACCATTGACTTGCTAGTCGAGATTCCTCCCCTTCGGCTACTCAGGCGGATGTAAGAGGTTAAAAGAGAAGAGATATTATGGGCCAAATGAAGAGATAGGAAGGAATGACAACAACAACCAGTTTTTATACCCGCCACTAAAGGACGGGGGTGAACTCATTTTGTTCTTTTTTTGATAATGTGTGTAACATCCAGAAGGAAGCTTCAGAGACCCTACAATGTATATATATATTCTTGATTAACTTGAAATTCTGAACTGATTAAGCCAAGTCTGTTCGTCCGTCTGTCCGAGTGGTGGTATTGAGCACAATAAAATACATGAGGTCTTGGTTAGTTTCTAATTTGGAACACCCCTAAACATGTCCATCCGTCCATCTGTCTGCCTGCGCAACTGTATAGTGTATGTAATCCACTACACTGTTTGTTTTTGGCACTCTCCTGGTCTCAAAAATGAAGATATCACCTACAAATATGCAAAAGAATTTAGAATTGACTTTAATTTTTCAAAGGACACGCCTACAACGCCCACTTGCCTATACGGCAGAAACTTCTATTTTGAAAATAGAAGAAATTTAACTTTCTTACTTGTTAAATACATTCTATCATAAGTGTGATCATTCATGGATCTGTAAAGAATATTGATTTCCCAGGAATCTCTCTTCCCATCAGTCTCTGATAAGGGTTTAAATAAAAATATAGGATTTATTTTATAGAAAATGCGATTGGAGTTAACATGCGCAATCTCTGGTTTTAATTACCCGCTTTGCCTCATTGGTAGTATATTTGATGGACGAAATCGTACCATCGACTTGAGCCCTTTTTGCATAAAAGCCAGCTTTTTATACTCTACATCACGTGTGATAGAGGATATATTAAATTAGTGCGGTCGTAGGTAACACGCAGAAGTGCTTAAGATGGACCCATCTTTTATTATGTCGACCGATTCCGTATCATAATTTTAAGTGATCTAAAGCCTGACTGTACGTCTGTCCGTATTCAAACTACAAGTCGCAATTTTTAAGATACTTTGATGAAATTTGATAAAGTGACGTGTTTTCGTCCAAGGACGAACGCCATAGAAAATGGTTCGGATCGGTCCACTTTTTCGACCACGCTCCATACAAAAAAAATTGTAATTTTCAAAATTTTCCAGCAAAAGCTTCCAAGTAGTTGTATTTGGGCATTCTAAATTGGTATGCAAACTTTGTACCTGCTGGGGCAATTTTTCAACCCTCTCTCATATAACGAAAGGTGAAGTTCATATGGCAAAAATGTCTAATTTCCAGTGCTTCATGATGAAACTTAGATCACGAAAGCAATGTAAAGCGAAAATATTAACTGCACCGAAATTTTTTTAGATGTTCTGTGCCCCACTATTCTTTGATGATCCACATAAAGGTATGTACTTGTTCGTAGTTTGAAAAATAGTCTATGAAAATATATTTTCTAAGATGAATGCAAGAAACTAAGTTCATTAGTAAGCACATTTCAGGCTTGGGAAGAAAATTCGTCCAGGCACCTTCGTGTAAACATATCATAGTCAGTTCACGGGCATTTAAGCAATATAAAAATACTCAATGAACAATGAGTTTAGTTCGCTGCACTAAGGAAATGGTGAAGCGTCAAAGACCAAAGAATACTGACATTGAAGGAATTGTAGCGAAAACCGCTCATTAGGGCACGTGTTAAAGGCGGGAAAAGGATTATAATCTGCTTGTTAGCTGATCAGCTAAGTATACGCAAGTTTTCTTCGCAAGTTTTCTTCGCGATTTTAGCACTATTTAAAGAGTTAGTTATCTTGTTACGGTACTTACTCCCTGCACTGCGGCAGCATCACCCGATAAACGTGAGCACAGACTACCAGTACCATTGGAAGGTTTATCAAACCAGGCGATCTCCATTTTCAGTATTGCCTCAAACATAAAACCCCTCAAACGTTCGATTAACTTCTCCCCGGCGAAGCCGAAAGAATAAATCTGCAAAAGATTCCCGGCGAAACTATGAACATGATTGGTCCTATCAAATTGTGTGGACTTTACCTGAAGAAAAGTTGCTGCACCTACCGCGATACCACTTAAGACGAAATACAAACTGTAGATGTTTGTGTTATCTCGTACATAATCGGGATCATCGCGAACTGATAAGATCTGCAAAATTGAACCAAACAATAATGCGAATAAAGGCATAGCCGAACCCATAATCACTGACGTCAAACACCCGCAGATTATTTGCGGCCATTCGTTGCGATTCATTTTCAAAATCGGCCATAAATACTCTTTTTTCTTGTTTTCTTTTGCTTCTGTTCCATCTTCATCGTCATTTCTTCGCGGAAATTTTATTTGTTCCTCATCTTCGTCGTATGCATTATTTAACAATTCATTCTCTTTCGTCATATCTAGAGAGCCGACGGCTTCAACATCGCCTACTTGACTAGTGACCAAATTATAATAATGTCCCTTCAGATCCATTAATTCATCATGAGTACCAGTTTCCACTACTTGACCTTTGAAAATAACTACAATACAATCCGCTCGACGTATGGTTGACAAGCGATGAGCTACAATAATTGTGGTACGGCCTTTGCTAGCCTTTTCTAAAGCTTTCTGCACTTTTACCTCACTGGCTGTATCCAAGGCCAAAGTAGCTTCATCCAAAAGTAAAATCTCCGGATTTCTAACTAAAGCTCTAGCGATGGCGATGCGTTGCTTTTGTCCACCAGATAATTGGGCTCCCCTTTCGCCAACCATAGTAAATAAACCTCTCGGTAATTTATTTATAAACATTAGAGCGTTGGCGGCACGGGCAGCCGCTTCAATTTCTTCCCGCGTCGCATCCTCACGTCCGTAACGAATATTCTCGTAAATGGTGGTGCCAAACAAAATTGGCTCCTGACCTACTACACCAATACGTTCTCGCAGCCAGTTAATGTTAATGTCTTTTAAATTTACATCATTAAAATGGATGGCACCGCCTTGAGGATCGTAAAACCGTTGTATCAATTGTATGCAGGTGGATTTGCCGCAACCAGAAGGTCCGACAAGAGCGACTGTTTGTCCACGTTTGATTTTTAAATTTAACTTATCCAATACTTTCATCCGTTCACGTGTAGGATAATGAAAATCGACATCCTTGAATTCCAAAACAGTTAAGGGTTGATTTAAAGTACTTCCGATCGCCTTAATTGGATTAATCGTAGGTTCTTTTTCGATTAAATTGAAAACTTTCGCGCAAGCGCCTTTGGCAATACCGAAAGCTTCAATATATGGCGAAGCCATACCAAGATTCATTGAACCCATCATAACGGAGAAGAAAACCTTTTAGAAAAAAAAAAAAAATAAAATAGATTAATTTTCAGGCACTTTGTTTCCAATATATATACATTTAGTTAGTAGGAGAGAAGAAATATTTTCAAAAAATCACTGGGAAATGTGTAGTCAAAAATTGGGAATAAATTGTGTAGGAACTAGGTGAACAAGCGATTCATAGTTCTTCTCTTGCATTAGAATACCGAATAAAATGCTTATCTCAATTTTTCTACTTCCAAGACATATCGTATGAGAAATCGTTGAAAAATCTCTAAGAATCAAGTTTTATCCAAACAGGTACCAATGAAAAGAATACCATTGCATTCAAATAAATTGCGCTGAAAAGCCTTCGGGATTATTACACAAGATTTCAACGAGTTCAACATAGTTTGAATATGACCAACGTTAGAGTTTATCTCAATCCAAACTAACTTCTAAAGAAGAGGGATAAAGTTCAAGAAGTTTACATTGTCTCACAAATTGGTCTGTATAGTTTTGTGGAATTTCGAGCAGGACCTGCGAACTCATTTTGTTCCGAAATATGTAAATGTTTGTTGATTGTGAAAAATATTCAAATTAATAAGGCGATTGAGATATTTTTATAGCGCATTTAAGACGTAGTGCTAAGGGCTTCACATTTCATGCTACTTTGCCCGATCGCACATGCATGTATTGAACGAGCATAACAAGAATTATATGGAAGGCTGACGAAAACCATTGACTTACTCGTTCCCCATTTTAGTTCCATACTTAAGCTAAGCACACTAAAGTTGTTCTGTACATATCGTATAAGATTGAAATGTCAGCTAGCGAGTAGCAATTATAGCATACGGATACCAGAAGTAACCCTTATTGCAAAACCAGTATGTTAACTTCGAATGGACGAATGGCAAAGCTGTTTCTATGATACCTGGAGAAACAGAAAAACCCACTTTCTTCCGTCTTTTAAAAATTCCTGGTACTTTTTAACACCAAGTAAACAAATGTAAGAACTTACGGCAATCATAGTACCAGGATCATAGTTAGAATAGTGTTCATCACCCGCGTAGTTCTTGAGAACTAAGCCAACGCCATACCAAAAGGCCAAGGCGTATGAAGAATAGATAAAAAACCATAATAAACCGAATCCCAGACCCGAGAATAAATTACGTTTAATATTTATTTTGCGTGCATCGACAATTTTATCTTTGTATGCCTTGGCCTCTCTGTGTTCACCTTCAAAAGCTTTCACAGTTCGTATACTGCTAATAGCCTCTTCGGCTATAACTGCGGCATCAGCATATATGCTTAGCTCTTGTTTGGACAATCTTGCCGTGACCTGTAGAAGAAGAAGAAGAGATGCAACCGAAATGGATTATAATGGAAACAAGCAAATTGTCAAGATTACATACCACACCCACCAAGCCCATAGCAATAAATGTTACAGGTAGACTAGATAAACATACCAAGGACAATTGCCAGCCTTTGATGAAAGCGAAAACAATACAACCGCCAAAGGCTGCAAAAAAATGTAAAAACATAACCACCTTTTCCCCTAAGCCGTCTTCCATTTTTGTCAAATCTCTAGAAACAAAATACGAAAAATATTGCAAAATTTACACATAAGTGTCTCGCATAAAGAAGTAAAATAAGCGCCAAGTACACACTCATTCATACGACTAGCTACTTCACCGCTTTGATTAAAATCAAACCAAGACATATCCTGATGAAGAACAGATCTTAAAAATTTACCGCGTAATCTGAATATTTGATCTTGAGCTGCATAGTTGAATAACGTTACTGATATATAACTGCAAACTAACATTATTACGCCCATCAAGGTGGACTTGAAGGCGTACGTTGTTACGGCTTCCAATAAAGCATCGATATCCGCCTGACTTGTACTGTTCGCAGTGTTGAAAGCAAACTCTATCATGGACTAAAATCGAAAAAAATTCCTCCCATTAGCTGAGTTGAGTAATAGGTAAGAATTGGAAAATAGGATCAAAACTTACGTTTGCTAAGTCGCCAAATATTAAGCTATTAAACGGTACTGTTGAACCAGTAGCCAAAGCGCCCAAAATGCCCAACGCATACATGAATTGATCCGTGCGCGAGGCATATCGATACATTTGAAAGAAACCCACCGGTTGGATCTCGTCACGACTGTCTTTATCTTTATCATTATCGACATTTTCGTTTTTGTCCTTTTTCGATATTTTATTTCTTTTACGCTGCCACCACTTGAAACTTTTTCCATTTGCATTTGTTATTCTAAGGAGAGAGAGAGAGCGAGAGAGGTAGTGAGAGAAAAACAAATTTTGAGAAATCGCGCTTTTAAGTAAATGCTTTTTTTTCCAATCAATTAAATACAACTCCTCGAGCGATATCAAATAATTCAAAAGGCATTTCCTCACTACATGTATTTTTGTCAATAAGCGATTAGCGATGGCTAGTTTACGAAAATCAATCACGCATTTTACGCATTAATCGTTTTCGGAGGGACGCCTACTTTACTTTGCACTTATTGCCCTATATCAACATGTAACTGTTGATAGCGCTTGGAAGATAGTACAAGCGACCATATATATATGTATAAAAAAAAAAAAATTAAATCTTTTAAGTAAACACACTAAAGCACTTTAAAGGGACTTAAAGAGAGAGAGAGAGATTACTTGCGAAGATTTTTTATGAGGAAACGAAAAACGAAGAAAAATAATATTTCTCTTTGCCCAAATGTGGGAAATTTTTTGGACATTTCCTCTTGATTGGGCAAAGAAAAATGTTCAAAAGCCTTTATTTATATATTTATAAATTTATGCGTTAGTACTCCTACCGACAATTTAGACATTTCAAAATTTTATAACTTCTTCTTCTTCTTCTTCTGCAATTCAGCAAAACAACAATAGGAGACTCGCCGGGTTGTGTAAAAAAAGGCTCATTTTGAACCCAAAGTCCTTTAAAGTTTACACCTTAATAAAGATATCTAAGTAATTAATTTTTTTAAATTTATTTAAACAATTTTAGGTATATGCTGAAGGTCGCTGTCAATTCTCTCAAATTGTATTTTATTACTTCCTTGGAATTTTTTTTAAATACTTGAAAGAAAATTGCTTGATAAGCGTCATTAAATGTGGTTGTATTGCATTTTCTATCCGTTCTATGCACTTGTGGTACAAAGTTGTCTTACGTATGTGCGGATGTATGCATCATCAAGAAGGTCTTGAGTTGGGCCCACCTATTATTACACGATCGATTCAAAATCACTTTCTTTCTTTCTGAATCTATCCAAACCTGTCAGTCCTTCTGTCCGTCGACCCGTCTGGTCTCCTTTTTTCATGTATTCAACCCATAGGCCGCAATTTTTAAGATATTTCGATGAAACTTGATACAGTAACGTGTTTCGCCCCGAAGATGGGCGTTATAGAAAACGGTTCGGATCGGACCACTTTTTCGACGACTTTCCATGTAGTATTTTATTTTGAAAATTCTTTACACGAATAATTGTTGGCTGGTGTAGGGTATTTAATGGTGAACCGCGGCCCGGTATATTGTTTTGATTTGTCTTTTATTATATCAAATATTTTTTTTATATTTTATCGCAAATATTATAATATTTTACTGTAAACATTTATATCTTTTCTGCGAAAAACTCCTTTTTTTTAAATTAAAAAATTGTTGAACTAATCGGTTGATAAATTCAGACACATTACAACATTGTCTGTTTTATCACATTAATTTTTTTTCTTTTTTTTAACTTTTTGTGTCATAAATAATATTTTATCGAAACTGAAAAAAAACTTCTTTATAAAAAAATCCTTCTCACTTGCCAATTTTTGTTTTTTTTTTTAATTTAAAATGTTTACGAGATAGTTTGTTTTTTTTTTATTATGTATATATATATGTATATTTAATATATATTTATAATCCACATGAAAAAGTTACTAAAGCAAGATAGAGGAGTTCTCAGGTTTTTGCGGCAAGAATAAGGTCACGTGAGATATCCGGAAATGAAAGACTTACACCGTTTTCTGAGTTTTATTATTCTCATCATTTCGATCATTCAACACTGTATTGGTTTCATAAAAGGACACGTCATCCTTTTGATAGCCCTCGTTAGCACTCATCACTTCAGGGGAATTTCTTTTTTAAATTGATTGATTTTTAATTTCCTTTAAAAAAAAAAAGAAAAGAACTTGTACCGTTAAAATGCTTTTAAATGTTTCCTTCTATGTAATAAAATCAAAACTGAGTACTTTTAACAACTCGCGTAATCTCTATATATTGAAAATTTCAAATGTATTAACTTTATTTTTTTTTTTGTTTTTTTTGTTATTGCTTTATTGAAACGACATAAATAGAGATAAGTTATCGTTTTTTACAATTACATTTGTTATTGAATTATAAATGTAACGTAAGCGAACCAATATTATGATAATGCCATTGGGACAGCGTGTGAAATTCCAAATGGTCATATAAACATGTGCTCACTATGCGTGGTATGTATGTACAAAAAACAATGACGTTGCATTTTTCATATAAATTTTACTTATTATTATTATTTTTGTTTTCTGCTTATAAAAACACAAAATTTGCTTTAGTTTTTTTGTTTTTTTATCTTTTATTATTTCCATCTGTCTTTACTCAATTACATGCGCATAACCATGTTAAGAGCATCTCTATTGATTTTAGCTTGTTTAAGTATATGTCCCTCGACAAATATATCCGATTCGTATTGCAAGTAGTTAACGCATTTTTCAACGTACATTAAAGACTCTTCTAAGAGTTCTTTTGGTGTTACATTAGTATTTGCAGTGATCCGGCGTGATTGCTCTGCCATTGCCGAGTGCATTTCAAAGCACAATGTTCCTAACATCCGAACTTCGCCTAAAAGAAAAAAAACAAAATAAAATACAAAATAAATAAATAAACAAGTAAGAAAATTATATTCGGTCGCCTACGAATCTTTTATACCCAACACAGTTATCCTAAAAAAGAGTAAAAAAGAGGAAAAATATCTACATTGTTATACTCTATAATACCTAGCGAGCGTGAGTAACAAGCAAAGAACGCGGAAAGCAAAAGTCTTCAAAGGTTTTCTTGCACAGCCGTGTAGGCGTTGTAGGCGTGTCTCTTGACATTTTCAATTTCTTTGGCAAATTCGTAGACGATTTGCGAATGGTAGAATGCTTACAACAGCTATTATATGGATGAACAGTCAAACACACGGACATGCTTAGCTTCATTCCGAATTTGAAGCCAAATTTGATATAATTTGTGGGGTTTTTGAAGCTTGTTTGCGTGCGTTATAGAGATATTAAATAGCCGTGGTTAAATTCTCTCATTTTTGGAAAGGTGCTACGGCATGGTCCGTGGAATATGCCTTCAAATTTTTGTAGGTTACATAATTTATGGATGATGAGCAAAAAACAATTTTTTATTCCTTTTGAAAAACAAAAGTGTTGTCGGCTTATGTCGTTCTGTAGAAATGCCTTTCGACCGATTTGGCCCATTTTCGATAACAACCTGCGTGCAAGAACTTCCAATGTCAAATTTGAAGTCGAAAGCTTCATTTTTGCGGCCAGGAGAATGTTTACAACGTGCATTACATAGAAGGACAGATGGAAATGTTTAAATCGATTTAGAATTTGATGCCGATCAAGATTATATATATATATATATATACTTTGTGAGGTCTCGGAAGTCTATTCTGCACGTTGCAAACTTTTTGTCAAAACGAATATAACACTCATCTTTCCGTATTGGGTATAACAAAGGAAATAAATAAAGGAAAGCAGTGAAATTCTAAAATTAATTTTTCTTCTCTTTGTTTAAATTTCTTTTTTACTCTTTCTTTTTTTTTTTTTATTCTTACTTACAAGGTGCCAAAATCTCATACAATTGTATTAACTCGCGTGCGTATTTTAATTTCTTTTGTAATTCATCATCGCTAATTGTAATTAATTCCTTGGGCTCCCTGCCAATTTGTTGTATTAAATGAATTTTAACTTCACACATATAATAATGTTGACCGGGTAACCATTTCTTATAATGTTCTACATACCTGCAAATAATAAATGTATATTCGTATGCAAATAATCAAATACAAATACAAAACTAAAAGCAAACATGAAATGAAATCTCATAAAAAGAAAGAGAAAGAGAAAAAAAGTAACGGTTTCCTAATAAAATGCCTCTCTTTTCACATTATGGCTAAGTAATGTTAACACAACAACAACATTAATAAATATTTACTTAGAGATTTGTATGCATAATTTTTCAATTTGATTACTCATACGCCATAGTTTACGATAGTAATCTCAGAAAACGTCATATTTTGCAAAAACATAAAACAAAAAAAAGCCTTTGATAAGAGAAGAGCTTATGACTGAAATTTGAAATTTTCTAATAATTTGCGGAAATACAAAAGAAAAAAGCAAGAGGTGCATATGTGTGTGAATGAATTGATAAAACTTAATACTTTACTGTATTAGGTTACATGCAATAAAGCAAAAAGCGAAACTTGTGTACTCATTATCTTGAACATTTATTAATGTAACGATAAGCAACGACTTTTTATTAAGCGAATATTTGATTAATGAAATAAGCTGAATAACTTGTTATTGAGCTTTGGAGTCAAACTGTCATGTAAAAGCAAACTGATTCAAAAAACAACAACATTTTCATACCAAAGATTTTGATGCCATAATTTTGATAAACCAAGTAAGGACATTGGGTAACCATTAGATAGATATCCTATGCCACTTCGCCTATACTGCAGTTATTCACTCGTTTTGGATCTTGTGAAAAGTCATTATACGGGAAGTGATCAAAAAAGTGGACCGATCCGAATCGTTTTCCATAACGTCCGTCCATAGATGAAAACACGTCAATGCACCAAATTTCATCAGCAATATCTCAAAAATTGCAATCTGTGGGTTGTGACAAGTAGATGTGTAGTATGGACTGATATCAGTCAAACAAACGAACAGTTTCGGTATGATATCGATATGATCGATGTGATAAAAGGTTGGTCTATCTTAAGCCCTTCTGAGTGTTACGTAGGACCGCATAGACTTAATATACCCACCAACACGGATGGTGTAGAATAAAAATAGCATACATAGGCGGACAGAGAAGTAGTTGCGATGGGTATTTTTCAGTTTGATGCGCTAGAAATTCGAAAAGTTAGTCTCCACAAAGCCTACACAAAGTTTCCACATGTCGCAACACTTTTCAATATTAATTCTGGGAATAGTTCTTGCAGTAAGCAACAGAGGGCTATTTTGCATATATATGTGCTCCATACTGAATAATCCCAACTCTGCTTCTTGGAAACTTATAGCCTTATCCTAGCGTCATAAGAGGAAACCATACGTTTTCTCCCCATGAAAACGGCAAAGAAAATACTGCCTTGTCAGTCTGTGTGCGATGTTGCTCAGCATATGACTGCTAATGACGATCAATTCGCAGGTGTACTCGCGACTCACGAAAATAATGAAGTCATCGACTTGAACTGTAGTCCGCATTTAGTTGTCTAGAAATAAAGTCGCTTTGATCTGACAGATAAACGGACAATTAATAACCACTGCGATTTCTTGTGTTTATAAATTTAACGATCATTTATAATTCGACTTAAGGCAATAGAATTTCAAATAATTTTTCCATACCTTTCAACTTCTTATTATCCTTTACACCATTTGTTGTGCTAGGGTTTATTAAGTTTGTTCATTAAGTTGTGTTGCAAGGACCTGGCACATAGCCAAATTTTATTACATCGTTCGATGCAGAGTCACTTTCTGAATCGGTCTAAGCTTGTTCATTTGTCCGTCCGTCGGTACGACCTGTTTTCTTCAACCTACATGTCACAGTTTGTGAGATATTTTAATGACATTTGGTACACGAACATGTTTTTGTCCAAGGACAAACGTTATTGACAATGATTCGAATCGGACCCCATGTAATGCTTTATTTTGAGTAGCCGGTCAATGGATAATTTTATTAAGCCAAGTGCCGTAAGGTTTTAGAAACTGTTTTTTCACATGTTCGGATGTTCACATGTTTGTTTTTTTTTTATAGAAATAACAATATTGATAAATTTGAAGCAATAAAAACAAAAACTGTAATGTCTAGATAGAGAAGTTTCGTTTATAGAGTGGGATAAGGCGGGTACAATATGCTCGCTTAATATGACTAAGCTTTTTAAGAGAAATTTTTTCAAATTCCAATACACTGACTAAGATGAATCCTATTAAAGATGCTAAGTCATTGCCTCGGAAAAGAAATGAAACCAAAGCTAATTCACGTTAATTCACACATTTAGCTAAAATTTACATATATATGTAACCTGTAAACGTTGAGATGATTAATAAGCTAAACACGTTCGAAAATAAATAATCTTACAAGCAATCGAAATGTGAATAAGTGCTTCGATGGAAGATATTGGACGAATCATGTTTGTTAAGAAATCATTGAAATGCTTTCAATTGCTTCCTTAACCTAACCCAACAAAATGTAGTATAGCTTGCAGTTCTCATTTAAGGTAATTAACAAATATCTACTTCAACGAATGATATTGAAATTTCTCGTGCTTGCTACCTTAACCTAACCTAAATCAACTTTGTTATGGTTTGTCATTCTAAAAGCAAGATATATTGATTAACAAATTTCTACTTACTTTATGCAATTTTCTTTAGTTTTTTCCATAGCATTCAGATCGCTGCCGGCTCTTTCCAAAATATTATTCACATAACCTCTATCAACTTGTAACTGACAAATATCGCAACTGCATTCATTTAAAAGAATGGAATCATCTTTTCATATAAAAATATAAAAAAAAAAAAAGATATTCTCATTATATTGCGGAAAAACAACTCACATCCACTCCTTATGCCAATCGTTTAGCGATTTGGGCAAAATGAAACCGTCGCAATCGCTTTTTTCGCAACGTAAAGCATTATATTTGGTCCCGTACTCCGTAATGTCCTCACATCGAGAACATTTACATTTAAACATTTTAGTTTGCATAAGATGATGCTGTCGATCGGCGGTTCCCCAAACTGAATCCGAATAGCAAATACTTAAATGATCGCCTTTCTTAATGGCCCGCGGAGCCCAAATGATTAAGTGGCCGTCTTTGCTGAAGCTTTTCGCTAAATTAGGTATACATGAATGTTCGAGAAATGAGGCATTATAGTAGATTGCGACATGAGGCGGATCAGAAACGGGTACTTCGTGACCATTGATTTGTAAAATACCAATTACTCGCATTATCTCGTCTTCAGTAAACGAAGTAGTATTGAAAAACCTTAGAATCAAGTAAAATGAAAAAAAATTAGAAAAAATTTCACATTTATCTCAAGACGAATTTCGAATGTCCATCACCTCTGCCGAATAAGCAAAAATTTATAAAGAGTTTTGTTAATCGCGTTTGTGTCTGTTGGCCTATCAAACTGTTTTGTGGAAAAAATTGTGTTTTAAAATTTCTTATGGAAGTTTTAAAGTTGAATTTCAAAATTTATCTGGAACCATTAACCAGGAAAAGTATGCATTCAATTTCAGTCTACAAATTGGAAACAATTTGTGAACCTGGCTAAGTCGGCTTAGACTCTCGAGATAATCATATATGTAAATCCTTGCTTATGTTATTAAAATTCTAATTTCCTTTCAAGCTTTATATTCGATTCCTTTTGTTTTTTCTTTCTTCTCTTTTTCCTTCTCTTCCTCTCTGTACCCTATATATATTAAGCTTGTGCGGACGTAAGTGACATGTAATGGGGTTTAAGGCAGATCCGCCTTTTATTATATCAATCTATTCAGAGTCATTTTCTGGATGGATGGAGTCAACGTGAAAATGAAGCCTCCATATGGAGAGCATAGCTAGTTTCTAGCTTTCTATGATGGAAACTGAAAAATACTGCAATTTTTAGAAAGTAAATTAAATTCGCTGAATTTGGAGCACATCAAGTCATTTTTATGGTGAAGTGGTGCAAGGTTGTTTAATTTCTTTTCTTTTTAATCGTTATGGATGGGTCGCTTATTGCTTTCAATCTCGATCTTCTAAAGGGAAATGCGCGATCGTGAGACGATTTGCAGACAAAAGGAACGTAATGAGTCATCCCAGAATTTTCAATAAAAGTCAGTGGCTGGGCAATGGGATGTGACCAAAATGCCGCAGCTTTTCGCTATATCCATAGGGAATGAGTAGGATATTTGAAAACCCTTACATATGTTGCAATCGTATTTAGACAACATTTTCACTTTACTTTGTTCCTTTCAGGTCATTTATGAAAGGCTATAAATTGAAGTAAGGAGTGAGCATCATGCTAAACGCACTGCATTTGTAAAAGCTACAGTTCTCTCAATAGCGTCCCATCGTTCATCTCTCATAAGCTTCATCGGATATTGGAAGTATTGTTGATGATGTGGAAGCTTCTGTAAGAAGCAGAAAACATCAGAAGAGTTCAAAGTACACAAATTTGTCTAGTAAGTAAAAGAGATTATTCATGAAAGCCTTTGCTAATCCAAGGGACGCGTTCCGATGGATGCTAATGTCTTTAAGGGTAAATTCGAAAATAGAACTCTTCTTATATGCATGCTGTAGTTTATTTCAGTGTAATCTCATGATCAGAGACTTGTATGAGGAAAATATTTCTTTCCTTCCTTTTGCCTTTTCCTTTCCCTACCTCTTTCTCTCTCACTTTTTCTTTCTCTCTCTCTCTGCGTTTTTACATGAAATAGTAGTGTAATTGAATCAGTCGGCAATAAATATTCTTATGACACTATTACGTCACTAAAGGTTAAAAAACCCAATGGCCAACGTGAGTAAAGACTGTTTGATTAGGAAATGAGGTCGTTTCCGCTATTGATTAATCGGTCAATTAACGTCAGGGAATTATACAAAATTTTATAAAATATATGAACATATTTATACAGTATTGTCAATTTATCCCTAAACCACTATATGTGTACGAGGATGTATACATGCATATATGTCTCTTTCTCTTTTTTTTTAAATAGGAGCAATCAAACAAGGATTGTTCTCGGTAGATGTGCCTGAACGATGATGTTCTAAACGAACATCAGGCTAGTGTCAAATGTGATGCCATTACGGGCTAAGCACTGCCAAGGCCTAACGCACTCACAATTGATTTCTATGATATGCTATTGTGGATGTGATAAATGCAACGATAAATCTATTATACTACATGGTGATGGGCATAAAAGTGAAACTTACTTTAATATAAATTTGCAAACAGTTTCATAATCGACCTTCCATTGCATGGAATCTCGTCTTGCATTTTCTAACGATTCTAAGGTAATAAACTTTTGCCAAAGTTCAGAATCTTTATCGCGCAACATTAAGCCGCGAACCGTGGTTATGCACTGATACATGGGATGAGGATTAGTGAATTCCTGTACATTCACTTTTCTACCTCTCTGAACGGTTAACTCACATTCGTATTTATGCTCCGATTTCTGCTTGCATTCATTGCCGCACAACAGCCAACCGCATCGTTCACAATTTATATAATCGCTTGGCTCAATGGCATTCAAGCAACCACAACAAACCGGTGGGGTGGCTTGTGAAGGTCCCCTCAGCAATGGGGCCTCTTTAATCAACACTTCAAATGGTTTAATATTACGTGTGGTAATCAAATGACGGCCTAATAGATCGTTAAATACAATCTTAAAAAAAAAACAAAAAAAAAACCGATTTATGTTATATGGAGTATATATTGTTGACACACAGCGTACCTTAAATGGTCGACAATTGGTTTTATGTGATTTCCAGTCTTGTTTTTGATGTTCCGCGCAACAGTAGTAGATCTGTTTGCAATTGGAACAACTATTTTTAGTTTCTGCAGCACAAATCTTACAGGGATTCATTGCATTCGTTTGATTAGTTTTATCAATTAAAACAAAAGGCACCCAAAAAAAAAAAAAAAAAAAACAAAACAAAAGAAATTAATTTTGTTGTTGTTTTCCTTTAAATGAAATTAATTTAAATTTTTAATTCAGAGCAAATCATCAGCAACTTATACTGAATAGTCTCATAAGAGACGACTAACAGAAAAAATTGAAAATAATTTCATTTATTCGCAAAAAAAGTGAATTTGACTATTTATAGATTTCTTCTCTCTTCAAACTCAATTATATACCGGCTAAAGATCGCATGAGCATAAGTCTTTATCAAATATTATGTTTTTCCCCGAAGCGATCAACATGAGATGAAAATTCAATCATTATCCTATATATATATGCAGTGCATGCTGAGAATCTTTAAACTGCAATGATTAAGGAAAACTCAAAAGAATGTTTAACATTCCATTCAAAGTCCTTGCTCTCTGCTAAAATGTAAAAGAAGTTTGCATTGATCTATGAAAAGCAGCTCAACGTAATTTTTTTAAATATGGTAAACCAAAAAAAAAAAAAAAAGAAGGGAATAATAGGGAAAGTCGTCTGTGCAAAAATTCCTCTTATTCGATTATTCCATAAGTAACTATTTTAACATTATAAATGGATATGACGATTGCCATGGCCATCTCTGAATAAAACCATTTTTAGAAGATTTTTCGAGCTTAAACGTGCGTAAGTGCTGCTGCTTAACTCTAAAGAAGAAGAAAAAAAAATGTGAGTTTAAAAAATAAACCAACTGCCAATACATTAAAAAAAAAACTGAGAACATTATAGTCGGACAACGTCGACGATTACATACCCGACATCACTTCGCCGAGTGCAGTCATTCGCTCAGTTCGGTAATAATACTCCAAAAAGCACACATTATTTTCACGCAAAGCCGTAATTGCCATGACAGCCCGCATATTGGAAGATTATCTTCTAATATTTTTTCCATTCCGTCTTTATGGGACGTCAATGGATAGCTGAATAGCATGTTGAACGCCGCTAATAAACTTCGCACTCCCAAAAAAAAAAGGACAGTTTGATGGCCCTCGGTTTGCGTAGCGCTGCTGTTGCTGTATCCGCATCCAATAAGCCTGCCCACCTTTCGGCTGTAAGCGGTCGTTCCGTCTGTAGACACCTGATCGAAATGTATCTGGTTAGCTTCTCGACTGTTTTCAAATGTTTTTTTTTTGGCTGGTACTATCCTCTCCTCGCCATTCGCTATTTCTGTGTTACTTTTCTTTTCATTACACTAAAGAATTGCTCGAGAATTTTTCTTCAACAACGTGCACTGTGAAATAATTGAAATGATTGAAATGCCTTTGTTCTCCCAATAAACCATTAGCTGGGATTCTTTCCTTTAAATGTTGCAAAAAAAGGCCACCTAACAATAGATGCAATCAAAATCTCTTCCCAATGAATCTTTTCTTCTTTTATTTCTTAATAATGCAATTATTCGAAATTATTAGAAACGAAGGAGAGACCAACGATATTGCCAGGGAAAGGATGTGAGTCTCAGATGAGTCTTCCTCTCAATACATGGAATATATTTTAAATAAACGAAACGAAACGTCCACTAGGTTGCCATAAACACAGCATTTTGAGATAATTTCATTGGAATTGTGAAGTGAAAGGAATTCATTTAAATATTCGATATATTAAAATTAATAAATTATATAATGGTATTGTTGGCTCTTTATTATTGTTATGTTTAAACGAAAATATAGAAAAGAACAGCGCATGAATAGTTAGTTCATACATTATCTTGAGCAAGTTTAAAGTACTAAACTTGGCGTTGTTGCAAGCGACATTTCAAATTTATGCAGTCACTGCTACTGCGAAATGAGTTTACAAATTGCACGTCTCAATGTTGTTTTTATTTTTGTTTTTTATTATGATATAATAAAAGATAAATAAATTCATTTCTTTTTTTTTTTATTAATTATTGTATTTTATTGCATTAACGGAATTGATTAATATCGAAAAAGTTGTGATAAAAAACTCCTCTAAACTGATGTTATGAAGGCAGTAAGTTCGACTAAAAAGGAAGGAAAAAGGAAACAAGACAAAACATGGGGATACATACGTTAATGTTTTGTAGGTTCTTTGGGAAAAAAGTGACATAGCCTTCACAATGTTATAGTTCATTATTTCTTGTCTCCTATCAAACACTTCAAACACTTCATAACTTGTTTCGAAAATTATTATTATGAATATTTTTTTCCATAATTTATAAGAATTTTACATATTTTTCTCGTATACAGAGAGAGAGAGAGAGAGAGAGAGTAGAGAGAGTAGTATAGAGTTTAAGTACAAATAACTAGATAAAAATTGATTGAAAACCACTTTAACTTCTATTCATCTCTTGTTCACAGCAAAATCGTTCTTTTTAGTTATAAAAAGCAACAAAAAGATAAAATGGATGAATCGAAGGGTCAGCCTAAAGAACGTCTGAAGGGTTCGGAAAGCAAATAGTTGTCGAAACTGATGGAAGATCAACATTTTAAAGTCATAGGTACAAAAAAAAATTTCAAAAAAAGAAATCGAAATCCAAGCCAAATGAGAAGAAGAAGTCTCGGAGTGAAGTTAAAAAGCCCAAAAGAATCGATAAACGTTTTCAAATTTCCTCGAGCGAAAATGATAATAAAACCACATCAGTTAAAGTTAAAATTAGCAAATAAATAGAAATTTTTAAATATTTCATTAAATGTTTTTGATATATATTTCTTACCCTTATAAAGAAACTGAAGCTTCTACATGAGAAGCTGATTCCGTGTCTATCAAGATAATAAAAAACGTCTCAAATAAACTTAACATACCCTTACACTGCAAGTAGCGTAGAATAAAAAAATAATGATGACGTCATAAATTGATTTATTGATTTTATATAACCTAAGCGTATTTTTTTGGATACCATCGCACACAAGGATTCTCAGAAAGTGTAAGACCTTAAGTGCGAAAAATGATTTATGATGAAAATTTTTTCATCAAAAAAAATTTTACATGAAAAGTAAATCAATCAAATTTGAACCGCATTTACGAAAAATAATTCACTAAGTAAAACGTATTTTAACATAATGAAAAACAGAACACCTTCAACAACTTCTTGTTAAAATTTAGAAATATTTTGTGGCATATTCCAATGAACATACGCATATAAAATTATTTAAAATTGACCAAAACGCTTTGTCATTCACAAACATACGCTTTCTTTTGACCGAATCATCCTATCTCCATGAAATGAAATTTTTCTAAATAGATTTCCCATAATTAAATCAAACTGTCAGTTTCCATTTCTAACTTCAGCACAAATTGTGCACCTGCGTTATATTCATTCATATTGGCGGCATACAACAACGCAGATTGCCTAGAAATGTCTAGAATCAATTGATCTAGGATTGTGTGCAAAAGAAATGGAAACTAACGGTCAATTTCGAAACCTAGATCGGACGTAGGAGTAATAAAAATTTGATTTTCAATAAATGAAAATTGTAAAGATCCTCTACCATGAAAAGTATTCCCCGACATGAACACATTTAATACATTCTTATATAAATTATATAATAAAATTGGAATAATAACCGAATGAAACAATTCATATCAGTTACATTCCCATTTTTAAAATACCTCACAAAAAAATCCCATGCGATAGTAAAATAATGACTACTTTTTATTTACAACGTTGTAAAAGGCGGTAAGTATTCAAGAACTTCCCTTTTAAAAATAAATTTGTAACAAATAGTAGAGAGAAAAAAAAAAGAAAACAAACACTGACCAGTTATTTATTTACATACAATTATTAAAAGTTTATGAGCGACTAAACACATACGTTGATTAGTTAAATAACAATATAACTCATTAAATACGAGTTTGTGTGTATGGTTTTTAAAAAAAAAAAAAATCTAGCAGAACAATTTGCAAAATATTTATTGAACCATTAATTACATCACGCTCCAAAGCATCGGCCACTGCCTTTAGAGAAAATGAAATATAAAAATGAATGGATGCAATAAATATGTCGTTGGGTATGTACAAATATTTTAATTTATTTATTTTATATATAATTTTATATTTTTTTTCAGACAAATATATCGCCATATACATGCCAAGTGCTTGAAGAGGACGCGCGGCAAGTGCTTCAAGAGGATACACGTCTTGCAGAAGGAAGAAACGCGAGAGAAATAATAAAAAGAAGAAGTCTGTAAATCGAAAAAACAAAAAGGAAATTATTTTAAACACAGGACCACGATGATCCTGGCAAAAGTACGGGCGTGTGAAGCATTTCTCAAAGATAACATTACGAAGTATGAAGTTTCACGGAAAGCTGATGGACTTTTCTTAATACATTTCTATTGAAATCAGCTTAAAGTTCCTATCAATCACTACATGTATATCTATTTAATTATTTACAATAAAGTTGGGAGATGAGCTTTCCATTGTGTACAAAAAAAAAATCGATTTACAATTATCAGAGGAGAGTTCAGATTTTTAAAGGTGCAAAGGAATATGTTTTGCAAGATTGCAAACTATGCTCTCGCCGTCGTTACTCGAATAGTCTTAATTCTCTTGGACCTATTTCTCTACCCAATCCAAACATATAGCAACAAGCACTGTTTATAATTCTATTCCTCACGAACTTCCTGACTAAGACTTAAAAGCTTTAGTCATTTGGATCGAAAATACTTTGTAGAAATCCGTGAATATGTTAATCACGACCATTAAGTATTAGGTGGGCTTACAAACTTATCTACAACAGTCTAGACTTGATAATCATCAATAATAGGGCAAGACTTTATGGATTTCTGAAACTTCTTTCTGGATGCTCTAAGTATCTTGATGAAAGTATGAAATTTTAGTACCCTAATATTAAGCAAGCGTAGTTTCTCTCATTATTCACCGTAAGAAGTCTTCTTTTATTATTACAAAATATTTTTAATTTTTTCTCATACGCTACACATAAATTAGAATAATTTTTTATTAGAGATTTTTTTAATGAAGAGCCTCTACCCATATCTTCAATTGTTCTAAAACATATACAATAGTTATTGTTTAATAAGAAATTACAATCAATTGTTTAGACAAATACGATATGCACATGCAGCTTTCAGGTATCTATTTAAACGTCAGTTTCATTGAATCCATTGTTTATATCATTTAACAGTTGGAACTTTTTCAAAATAACTGAATTTTTGGTTTTTCCATATTTTTCAAAATAGGGTTTATCTGCCACGCTATCCTCTTTTTCTGGCGTCCCTTTTATGTCAGCTAAAGATTTATCTGACCGAACTGCATTGGCGGGGAATGGTGTCGAAGTGAATTTGGCAAATGTCTCATTTGGATTTTCATCGCTAGCATTGTATACATTTTTTGCTTTATATGCAAAACTTGCTCCGGGTTGTCCCTCTTTAAAGGAATGCGTAACACTTTCTCTGTCTTTGCTTATATAATTACCTAAAAAGAAAAAAAATATTTAGTTGATTGTAATCTGGTAACTGATGAGAGAAAAAAGTGGCACTGGTATTTTATTTTATATTCACAAAAATTCAAACAACATCACAATCCGACACAAATTTCCATAAAAATGCAGCTAAAAACAGTCGATGCTCCATGAATTTAATGTGCCCTAGTAGCTAGAGTTCCTTGGAACTTCTGCCTTTCTCTACCCCGACCGTCCGTTTAAACTGCAATCGCATTGTTACGTACCTTTTGCATTTTTAAAGCACGCCGTACGAGCACTACCATGACACGCCTGAAGGGGTCGATGGCGGAAATTAAGCAAGCATGTAACAGGGAATGACAGAATAGCTGCTCATTCTTTGTGGGTCACATAGAAATAACCTCCTCAAATACATCCTAATAAACATAGTTTAGAGAGCATTTAGCAGTGCTGAACTCTTACAGCAAGGCTTGCTTTTTTCTTAACACATTCTTTAACATAATTTTGAATAAAAAAGGATGAATAGAAGTAACTTCACTTCTATTCACTAACTGGCTCCAAAATAGTAAAGTTTATCGTCTTGCTGATACTTCAAGGAGATGTCGTACCAATAATCTCAGTCATCCCTTGGTCCTAAAGTAACTTTTCAGATTCGTCTTTTTAATTACTAACGGTGAAACCGCTATCATACTCTAATGTTAGCCTGATTATAGAGGTCTATTAATTTGATAATAATTTTTTGTCTATAACGACCTTGCCCAAAGCAATATTGAAGAATGAAAACTACGCGGTAATTCCCACCGTACTGAGTTACGAAAAACGAACTAATTTTACGTTGTTCCTCTTTAGCGCATAACATAGAGAACACTTAAAAATTCGCATTTTAATGACGACTAAAGAGCACTTAACATAACACACTGTCCCGGCCAGAGACAAGTGCGGCATCCTCGGTGAGTATAATTTTAATAATAAATGGTGTGGCCGAATCTACTTTACGAATCGAACCGGAAACGAACAACCGAACTGACCAGGCGCCTGACTTGTTCTTGCCCTTTCCTGATCTCGATGATCTCTCTTCAGTATCGTCGAAGTTATTAATAAATCGATTAAAGCCCTGGCATTTGCAAAAGTCCGCGAGTGCTGAGAAGTTTCACAATGCGTCTACTTAAGTGCCTTAAACAAATTCGACTTCTTCAGTCTCCTAACGAACTGCCATTTTAACTTAACCAAATTATCTGTTGTTGTCGCTGAAGATGTACACTATTACAGTTTTATCATTCTACTTGTAAGCGCAAAATATTAACAACAGCCTCTCGAGATTTGTTGACAAGCCCAGAAAAAATCTTTTGAAGAGAATCATCAAGAGAAGTGTAGATCGGACTTCAATTATTATTCAATTTAGTAGTTTTATTACTAGTGCCTTTTTTTACTTACCTTTGGCTCCAAATAGATCCGCATGACGTAAATCTGTGCGTTTAATTTTGCCTTTCTTGCGAATGTTATTACTTAAGGTTTTGGTTTTGATGGATTTTTTAATTCTCTCAGCTCTTTTCGTTTGAACTCTACTTATCTCCTGTAACTTTTGGTCTAAATTCTTCGCGCAATGTTTTTGTTGTGGCTGTTGTTCTTTGCATATATTATTTTGTCCGTGGTTTAATTTATCCGCTACATCAGGACTTGACTTGGCATACCCCTGATATCCAATGTTGCTCTCGGTATCCGATATATTTGTACCCAGACCACTACTTTCCTCTAATTCGTCTTCGTCGACAATTTCAATCTGAAAGTATAAAAAAATATTTTTTAAAAATTATTTTTTTATTTTTTAATTATATAGTCACCTCTTCGGCAAGTGGCGGTCGTAGCAATACTTCAGGCCCTCCACCATATATGCCGTGTAAGAAATGCCAAAGTGAAGCATTCAATTGGGCATAATCTGAGCCTAGACGTACGCCACGTACTGGTGAAAATTTTTGACTTAATTCATTGCCGGACGCTACAATAATGTTAGTGTTATTAATAGGTCCTGGCTCCTTATGTGTCAGGCCTCGGGCAAATTGCTGCCACTTACGTAGCCAACCCATAGAAATAGCATAAATGGCTGATGAATCTAATTCGGCGTCGCTACATCGTGTAAACACTGTCTGCTCATAGCATTGACGTCTTGTAAGCATTTCCGCCGTGCGTTTACAATTTTCACATTCAAACAACACATTAATAGCTGGCCCACCACCAAATTTACTTTGAAGCAATTCCCACAATTGTTGCGACAAAGGTATTGCCAACTTTGACATGATGTCTGTTTTGGATGGTAAAACACCTCCATGGGGACACAAAATGGTCCAATTATTAATCGGTCCTGGTTCGGAGAATGTATTAAAACGCGCCAACCATTCACGTGATATATAAAAACGTAAATCTGCTTGAGAGGCGGGGAAAGAGGCGGCCAAAACGTTCGCTTCGAAACGCAACAACTCCATTTGCGGATTATGTTTATGATAAAACAGAACATAGGCTTGACAATTACGAACATCATCTGCCGTTACTTCTTTCACGTGATAATCATCAAACTCGTACCAATGATCAGTGAGCGCATTGCGTGCAAAACATGTGTAATGCCCACCGCCAACAGTACCATGATGGCATATAACAGAGACGAGATTATAAAGCGACACTTGGGATTTACAATCTTTATGCAAATAGGGTCGCAAGTCAAAAGCTTCAAGAGGAAATTCTACATGTGAGGAAATTTTCGAACTGTAAGACAAGTCATGACGGAAACGCTTCAAATGTATGCACAGCACTTCCGGTAAGTCGAGCACACGGGAATATTTGACACCTGTTCTCAGTTTATTGCACTTTTCGCAACTGTACATGTTATCGCCTTTCAATTCGTCAGCACTGAAAAAATTCGCCATGCAGTCATACAAGGTGACCGAAGGCCCCCACAGCCAAGATCGAAACAAACTCCAAAGCCACGACAACCAGCTTTCATTAGTTCGACTTGAACTCGCCGAATCAATAGAATTGAGGCTTTGAACACTAATGCTGTGTGCTTGATGCAAAACCGTTAAGAAATCGCGATTCGGTATAGGTAAGGAAAGGTCTTGGAATGTTTCTTCTCTTGTTGATATTCGATCACAGGTAAGGCATTGTACCGAAGATAAAAGTTTACCATCGAATATATCGCTTATTATGGAACGTGTTACTACACATGTGGTTGCATTGGAGGTAATATGGGTGTTATTCGGTACTGTGGTAGTAGGTGAGGATGGGTTGTTTTCTTCATTAGGCGGCTCAGACATGGAACTGTCGCATGTAATAAAATCACTTTCCGCTGAAGATGAAGAAGAACTTAATTCCGACGTGCAATCTTCGTCCTTTTCGTGTTGTTCTGTCGCATTTAAATTGACACTACCGTTTTTAGTCGCACATATCCTCGAATTGCTACTAATTTGCTCTTTCAGTTCCTCATGCAGTTGATCCATGAAGCACCTTAAAAATTCTTGAGTATCATGTTGCTGAAAGCCTCGAAACATAGGGTGTACACTACGTATGCCATATAATATACTGCGTGGCGCTACGTAACCTTCCAAATACAGCATTTTTAATTACGAATAATTTCACATATTTTGTCAGCAATCTTACCTTTACTATTGTCTCGCTTGCGCCACATGTCGCAAATTAAACGTTGATAGCTCTTGGCTAGTCCGACCCTACAGCGCGATTGGCCTTGTTCAATTATATGATCTACCAAATCGCCGCAATTCAAAAAGTAATGAGTCATTGGAAAAATATTGCTTAGCGCTTGTAGAGCCGAATTCATGTAGCAGGTATTCGCTATATTCTGCAAACCTACCAATCCCGTACCCATGCCATAAGAACACTCAAAATCAGAACTTTCATCGTCATCAGAAGCATGTATTGACTTAACTGTTGGAGGATCGCCAACATGAGCGGGTCTAGATGCTCCATCCAATGAGACTTCACGTTCGCACAAATAACACCAAGCACGCTGCGATGACAAATTTAATTGTACACAATGCAAATCATGATTTATACTATTCTCGAAATGCTTTGTACTGTGATCTTTAACTTGTTCAGAACAACCGACTTGAAGGCATTTTTGATGCAAACAAATCCATAAATTTGGTCCGGAATACTGGCAATTGGCACATTTATATAGCTGCGATTGAAATTAAACAGTTTTATGTCAACAATTAGAATTTCTCAACTTAAGAAATAACTTTACCGTATTATGCTGTTTAATATCCAACAAAGTGAAATGTTCCGCCGTTAAATGCTGGCAAATGCAAGGTTGGCGCGTCGCATTCATTTTGTTCGTGCACTTTTTCTCTATTGTTTATTTTAAAACCATTACAATGTATTTCAATTGGTTAAACGAAGTTTTTATATTCCTTTCGATGGATTTAGAAATTAATGATTTTACATAAAAGCAGTTTTCGTATACTAATTAAACGATTATTGTAATTTTTTATGACAATGTTACCGATTGTCAAAATTTTCACCGATTTTTGAGATGGACAAACTGTAGAAATTTAAAGGATGAGAAAATTGCATCGAATTTTTCGACCACAATTTAATATTTCGACTAAAATAATATAAAACTTAATGCGATGAGTAACATTGTTTCGCGATGTATAATTTTTTCGTTTTCTTTTTTTTAAATTTATTTTTATTGAAAATTACATTCAAAAAAGCTATGCTCAGATCAAACGCCCTATATAAACATATATATTCTTTCTTAAAAACTGCTGTCATATATCTAACGTTCTATACATAGTATATGAATTAATGCTGTCCTAATAAGAAAATTTTTAATTTTATTAATCAATAATCAATCATTAAATAATTACATTTCAATTGTTTATGAATTAAGATTCTCCCTCTCTTTCATTTATCTACTCATAAATTAAACGAGCAAAATCATTTAACTTATTTTTAAGATTTTAGTCAATATAAGCAATCTTCACTATACTCTAGACATAATTCTTTCTTTTAAAGCTAAGGAGCAAAAAAAAAAAAAATCCTCAATTCTTATTAAACTGAAAAGTCGTTTGGCACTTTACTGTAAATTATAAGAAAGAAACGTAGTTAGACTTCAATAAAATTCATCTCAAAAGAAAACGCTTAGTTCTCTACTGTAACAATAAGTTGTCATTACTGCAATTTTTTTTCTATTGAACTTAAAATTAAAAACAAATTGTATAAAAATTGAAAAGTATAAAATTTTTTAATAAGAAGATTGAAAAAAATTCTGTGCATTGAAAAGTTTTTATATGAATCATCAGTATTTGGCATATTAAGTGGTTTTGTTTTAGATTTTGGCATTTATAAGCACCGTGATACTTACTTAGGGCCGCAGAATCGATTTTCACTTGTGAAGCATGGGATACACAGATTTGTGCCATTAAAATCTTTATACCCGCGATGATCTGAATTCGCATACAGTGTCTGTGTGGTTACTGGTTAAGGTGCCGTAAAGTGGGATGCGAGTGGCATTTGTGGAATTGAAAAAAAATTACATTACTTAAACAATTAAAAAAGAAAGAATACTTGTAAGTGATTCTTCTCCTGAGAAGAAGAAGAAGAAGAAGAAGGAAAATTTTTTGTGTGTGTGTATGTGTACATGGATAAATATAAAAACCTTGCGCAACGTACACGCTTAAAAAATAAGTAAATAAATAGTACACATACACACAAAATTTACGCGTGTAAACGCAAGTATTGATATGCAACATCAGCAACATACGAGGACATTAGAAGCATCAGCAGCTGCTCATACGACTGGAGGTAAGAAGAATTATAAACAAACATGTACGCTTAATTTTTTTGTTTTTGTTTTTTGGAGGGGCTTCGTACGATGGACAAATTGCTGGTTTATATGATTTGGAGGAAACTTTGGGTTCCGGACATTTCGCTGTAGTGAAATTAGCTCGCCATGTATTTACTGGAGCTAAAGTTGCTGTTAAGGTAGTTGATAAAACGAAATTAGATGATGTTTCGAAAGCTCATTTATTTCAAGAAGTAAGGTAAAGTAGAACCAACCGTATACATATATACATATGCTTATACTTGCTTTTGTTGCAGGTGCATGAAATTAGTGCAGCATCCAAATGTGGTACGTCTGTATGAAGTAATCGATACAAAAAACAAACTCTATTTAGTACTAGAGCTGGGTGACGGTGGTGATCTTTATGATTATATTATGAAACACGATGGTGGCTTAACAGAGAATTTAGCGCGCAAATATTTTCGTCAAATCTTGCGTGCCATCACCTATTGTCATCAGCTGCATGTGGTGCACAGGTTAGTAAAATACTTAAGAAGAAAGAGTTAAAATTTTCTTAAAAATTTTCTCCCCATTTTTAAGAGATTTGAAACCAGAAAATGTGGTGTTTTTTGAAAAACTTGGCGTGGTAAAGTTAACCGATTTTGGCTTTAGTAATAAATTTTCACCTGGACAGAAATTACAAACTTTTTGCGGAAGTTTAGCTTATTCGGCTCCCGAAATTTTATTGGGGGACTCCTATGATGCTCCGGCTGTTGGTAAGTTAGTCAACCTGCAATTTTTATTTCACGAAATTAGTAAAAATTTATTTTCATTTTTAGACATTTGGTCTTTGGGTGTTATTTTATACATGCTTGTATGTGGCAATCCGCCTTTCGAAAAGGCGAATGACTCTGAAACTTTAACAATGATAATGGATTGTAAATATACGGTGCCAACTCAGGTGTCACCCGATTGTCGCCGCTTAATAGGTTCGATGCTGGTAAGAGATCCCAAAAAACGTGCTACAATCGAACAAATTGCTGCCGATCCATGGGTTAAGGAAAATGCTGAAATTGACGACGCCGACTTTCTGCCATTGGTTAAGCGTGAACAGATTAGTGAAGAAGATCACGCCTTCATTGTCCAGAAAATGATTAATGGCAACATTGCCTCAAAGGAGGAAATTCTTCAGTGCGTAGTTTAAGAGACCATTTAAGATTGTCACTAAATCTTCTTTTTTCACCAGAGCATTGGATAAGGATAAATACAATCATATAACGGCCACATATTTTTTATTGGCTGAAATACGCTTACGAAAAAGACGTGAAGAGCAGTTGAGGCAAAATTCCCTCCTTTCTTTAGGCAAAATGAAGTAAAATCTATTTATTAATCTGTGTTTGTTCAAATTGATTGGCACATTTTTTGTATAGAAGCAACTTCAGTGCTGGTATGGGATCTGTGCAGGGGGCGGATATAGGCAAAACCGGTCAACCCGTGAAAGTGCCTATTAATATTATCTGCAGTCCAGAAATTTTACAAAATGAATCAAGAAATGTAAGTTGTGCCACTTCAATTACTTTAAGTATATTAATCTGATTGTGATCGCAGGACAAACGCAGCCGAAAATGCAGCATTGTTCGTGAAGAAGATGAAGAAGAGTCTTCGCACGAATTGTCTTGCGAGGGAAATGAATTGAAAGTGGCGATAACGCGCCGTGAGTCAATTTCAGACGGTCGTCTTCATCGTTCAGTCCAGGAAAGAGCTTTAAATAGCTCTAAGAAGTCAAATATAGATGATATTGGTGCTGGTGGCGATGTGCTGGATACCATTGAGACCCAGACAAAAATGGTTGTATCCGTTGACGCTACCCTGGCACAAAAGCTGAATGAAATGGATATTCAAAGCACTGATAAAGTGGCAGATTTAACAGCCACAATAAATAACTCGAATCAAACTATAAGTGAATCTTTAGAGATACAAGATACTTTACGAGGCTTAGAAGAATTGAAACTAAAGTCAAGTAAGAATCCGGTGCTTACGCACCATAGGCGTCACTCAAAGCTTAACAAGATTCGTACACCATCTTGTAGCAGTTCAGAGGCTTCAGATGAAGATACGAAGACTCGCAGTAAAAAGAAAATACATAAATTCGTAGGTGATACTCCCACAAGATTTCGCGTCCATCGTCGCGATTCGCATGATGATAGTAGTGACTCACAGGACCAGGGCTGTCCACCGTCCGACGCACATGCAGGTCATGATGCAGCTAATTTAATAACGACAAATTCCTCGAATGTAACCGACAACAAAAAGGACGGACAAACTCAGGTACATCGATGTAAAAATGCAGCAACCACTTCTTATAACAATTTATGCTCAACATTCATTCATAAGTTTATTCTCCCTATGAGGAAATACTTACAAGTCTTATTAATTTCTGTCCAATTTTTCTAGAATAAATCGGAGGATACGCGGCATCATAAATCGTCAACGCATTCTTATGGTCATAATCACAAGTGCAAGAACAAACAGTCAAAAGAGGGTTCTACTGCTACCAATGATAAGCACTGTTCCCTAGCGGAGAAAGCAATGCAACTGCAAGCTGTTAATTTGAATTCACGGCGGAGGCGAATTCGAGAAAGCCAATCATTGGATCGAATAACGGAAGCACAAGAATACGATCTGTTGCGTCATCGATCGTCGTTTCCTTACGCTGAAACGCAGTGCAATTACGATCAACGCATTTCTTTATTCAATCTACATGCTTTTCCCGAAGCAAAAGAAGAAGAGTACGATGACGAAGGATCCGAAAACCATTCTAACCATACAGAACAGTTCCGTAATTCGCTGAACATTATCAAAGAACACGGCAACACTCTTACAATTAGGAGCACTGTCAATAATAATAATTCTTTGCAGCACAATCACAGTACTGGCAATAGCATTTATAAATTGAATTCCATAGAGGAAATTGACTTGATATTACATGAGAAGAGCTTAACCAAGACCTTACAAACGACTAGCTCGAAATGTTTTGTTACCATTAAAAAAATTCGTAAACTAGGCAAATATTTCCCCGTAGTAAATTTTTCTTAATAAAAACGCACTAAGTCATCATTAAAAAAAAATATATATAATAGAAACACAAAAACTAAACATATAAGGCATTGGTATAACCTACACACAGAAATATAACTTAAAAAAAAAAAAAAAAAAAAAAAAAAAATGAAAACAGTATATGCAGCAAAAGAAGCATTTTTCTATTGCAAGTGTTTTTGTTTATTATTATTTTTTTATTATTTTTCTTCTTTTTTTTTTTTTAAATAAAAACAAAGGGCCCTTATATTAAATTCCCTGTTTAAAACGTAGTTTTTTGTTGCCTCTAGTGAAAACATACCGTGAAATGAAATTATATGCTAAAATAATTATACACACACTTACAAGAAAACCAATCACATACGTATATTTTTATGCATAGTTATTTTTTATTTTATATTGATTACTAAATTAAGTGTAACTTATATATACAATACATACATAATATATTTACATACTAATTATTGCAAATAATTTACTTCAACTATTCAATGCAATGCAATGTTTGTTTAGTGATTATAATTTAGAAAAAAAAAGAAGAAAGAAACCACTAAAATCATTATTGAAAAAGAAAATAATGCAAATTTAAGTATTATGGAGAAAAAAAAAATGCATGCTTAAGCCGAGAGATAACGGTTATTTTTCATTATATATTAAAGTTTAAATGCACTGAACATACTCTCTCTCATATTAATATAAGAGGCAAATATTTAGATGGGAAGTGTTATTGGCACACAACAAATATGTGGGTTGAGATATGCGCAGCTGATTCTAAATCAAAGTAAACATCATTGAGAAATCGCTGAATCATACCCTTCGGTAATAGGCGAAAAATTTGAATCGAACTGTCAACTTATGAACTCTGTTCCATATAACCTTCAATCGGAAGTGAAAAGGGAAAAGGGAGTCAACTCCTCAAGGAGTTTGCTAAAGTAGTACAAATCCCCGTTAGATGAATTAGATATTTCCTCGTGCAGTCCGCAAAAGTGGCAGAATTCGTTCACATTATGCTTATACATATACTTATGTATATATTGATATATTTTTATGCATTTTATTACATATTTTATGTATATTTATATATTTTGTATATATTTATATATATAAAACATGTAATTATTAATAGCAAGGTCCATTGCCCATTGTCATTTAAAAAAAGTAGGCAAACGCGTCTGTCACGGTAACGCAATTTTGAAAAACCGTGAGGCCGCTAAAAGTTAGTTCACAACGTGGAAAGGTAAAACAGCTACCGTAACTAGCGTTATAAGAGTGTTGCAGAAACTACCAGGGATTTTTTTCTATATAAGCTACAGCTGATTCTCGCTTCCAATGCAACTACCATGGATTATTTTCTATACAAAATAGGAAATTATTTCTCACTTTCATTTCAGTTCGACGCAACTACCAGGGATTATTTTCTATATATGCTACAGCTGTTTCTTACTTTCAATGCAACTAGGAAAGGTCGCATACTGGGAAGAAGCCTTTCAAATGCGATTTAAGATAAAAAGCGTAAAACAATCTCCAAAATCTGTCGTAATTCTATCAACTTTTGTACCAAGTTTTGTGGCAAATGTTTTTCGCATCGTGAAACAGTACACACCGGCGTCCGTTTGTGTAGGATGCAGATGCTGTCAAACCCGTTTGAAATGTTATTCTAATCGTATCAAACACCGACGAACTCGACCTGATACTTGTGGTCTTCCCGATTACGACCAAAAGATCGTGTATGTAGATTCTTGATCAGCATCAATTTAGCATTGCCTGTCAATCCACCTGCTTGAAAGGAAATCGCTTTCTCAAAATTTTATTAAGCATACCAAACTTATCACTTCATGTTGTCCTATGCAGCTTAAATGACACCTTCAAGGGAAGAGAGAGAGTGATTATAATCAGCCTGCACAATTAATTCAGCGTTGTCCATTTGTCCACGTATTTTTGTCATCTGCCCTTCTACCCTCTTAGAAACAAAAAATGCTATTATACTCAGCTCGGATCAAATCTTTTGATTTGCTCGGCTACATTATTTATAATACTTATATAAGAAATAGAAAGCATATTAAATCACTTGAAATTTCGAGCAAGTATTGTGTACTTTTCAACTCTTTTTTTTTTTCATTTTTCAGTCAAACAAGTTCCTTCCGCACATATTAACCAGATATGTACATATGAAAGGGAATTTTTTGCATAAAAAGCACATCTTTTTTGCATGAAAATTATGAAAAATATTTTATTCAGTCTTTTGAGTCATTTCGGTACATTTTGCTAAAAACTAAACACTGTTCGATAAATATGTGCAAACCAGTGATGAGTGATACAATGAATGAATGAAGTTTGGCGAGTTAGCTGTAATTGGTTGATTTGAAGGCAACACGCAGGAGTTTTGCTGTACGGAGCAGATATTATGTAATCAATGATCTTGCATTCACTTCGTTGATAAGTCGTTCTGTTTTTGAAGAATGAACAGTTAAAATTGATCAATTGTTGTTCGTAGTGTTCTTGTTTCGCCGGATTCAGTCTCGTAATCGATTTGGATGGTGTGCCTGAACTTACCCGCGGATTTTTACGCATATGGTTCATAACATGGATTTACTTCTCTACTTGTCCTCCCCACGATGTAAAACGACGACGTCGTACGCTACGAAGTAAAACTACATTTCTTTTGTTGCTACCGGTGAATACCCTTTACTTTGGCACAAAAATTGACATTTTCGTTATTAAAAAAACAATTTTTACATTACGGCAGCTCTTCGTTGCCTGATGTCCAAAGTACTAAAAAAAAACACAAATTCAAACGTGCATCTGCGAGTAAATTCCGGTTTCATATTTACCCACGGTATACGGTTTTGCTTTTGTGCAAACTTCGCACATTTTTGTATTGATTCAATTCTTGCACAAGATACGTAAAAAATATAAACGGATTCATATATATATATATAGATATAGTGCGTTTTATAAATATTCCTGTTCGATAATTGCAAATGGGATCTTGTTTCGATCTTCGAAGTCGAGGGATTAAGGAAACTCTCAGCAAAAAACTGAATTTTGAAAGAAATGAGTTCTATAATAAAAGCCGACTTTGGCCGAATCTTCTAAAATCACCACTTTTATTTTCAAAAAAGTTGTAAAAATTTTTCCAATATAATAAACCTTTACATGCGATTGTCAAATATTTCTGGCTAAAAAACTGTTAGCACGGAGTTGCTTTTAATAAATAAGAAAAATGGGCAATGGTCAATAGAAAATTTTTAGCGCAGAGATGCTTCTAATGAAAAAATTGGTCAATAAAATATCTTTATCATCGTTACATGAAACTGGCAACGCCGTGTAAGAAATTCTGTTAAAGTGACAAAGCCGTTTAAGAAATTCTGTTAAAATGAGAAAGCAGCAAGCAAGATAAAGTATATATATATACAAATAACTTTTTAACTTTATTAGAAATGTTTGGTTACTATTAATAACACAATTTTTGATATTGTATTATCTCCCATAATGTATTCAAAAGGAGTCGATCCAGTTGGGAGGCCCAATACATGGATTTGTGCCTGAAAATTACGAAAAATCTAAGAGCTCAAGCTCTAAAAATGCGATTTCCCTCTTCTCTCTGTTTCTCTATTTATTATATGTAATCTCTTACCGTAAGATTCTTCTTTTTATACGTAATGACTACCATTGTAAACTGATTATCGACATGGCGTTGTTTAAGAGTAAATTTTAGCGTTTATGTTGTTTCTATTTTGGCGCTTTCTCATGTACTCTTAATGATTTTATTAAGCTGCTCTTTTCCAATAAGAAATATTTGTGTTATGCATGAAGCTTATTTCGCAAATCTATTCATTTGTTTTGTTTTCTTGACTTTTATTAAATACAAGAGAACATTTTTACTTTAGGTCTACGTTGCGAGGTCATTAAATCCGACAATAAAAAAGTTCAACAATGTTCACTTTTATTTTTTTTTCTTGTTAGTCGTTAGCTGGTTTTTTCCTTTACATGGTTTAAAAAAAAAAGGACCACGTGGGAACACAGAGGTGCTTTCATTAAATTGCAACGCTTCGATTTTGTTAAAGTGTGATAGAAATTGAGGGCGCAGTTCTGTTAAATGAGAAATTAAACTTCAATCCAGTTAATCTGAACAATTCGGATTATCAGCTGGTTTTCTTACTTACTTACTTGCAAAAATAATTTTTGAAACTTACTATGGAAAAAAAGAACATAATTTCGTTGTATGATTTATTTAAAATTTGCAGGAAAATATATTACCTGTCACCACATGCACCACCATGTTAGAAAAATAAGAAAATTTTCTCGCGCTCAAATAAGCGAAGTTATTTATATAATAAGATAATATATCGAGAGAAATGAAACCTCTTAATAACATAGATTTTCGATCCAGCATTCTCAATGTCTTTAATTGTTGAAACGCATGAGTTTGTCCATTTGTTAACCTATACCTGAGCAGCATAAATATACAGCAAATATGTACTTTAATTTCTTCGAAGACAACTTCCGCATTTTTTAATACGATCAATTCTTTTTTCTTTACTTTCACTTATACACTTTGTACTAGCTTTTAATAATAATTGAATTCGTCTGTTAATGTATTTTAGCTGATTTTCATGTGTAAATACATCAATATATAAACAAAAAATATTAACTTTTATTTAACAGTTGGTCTAACAGCGCCATCTCTTAACAAGTAGCCATAACAACTATACATACTTAGCGGCCCACGTTATATAAATGTATCAAAAATATAAATTCATCTCCCCTTGTACGTCT